TCTTCTTCTTCTTCTTCTTCTTCTTCTTCTTCTTCTTCTTCTTCTTCCTTCCTTCCTTCCTTCCTTCCTTCCTTCCTTCCTTCCTTCCTTCCTTCCTTCCTTCCTTCCTTCCTTCCTTCCTTCCTTTTTTTAATGCTGTACATTCCTCTTGGGTTTTTTTTTTTTTTGCTTCCAAATGCAATTTAAGGCTATTTGGTAAATTCTACATAAGAGATCAGGCTCAATTTACAGTGTTCCCTCCTTCTCAAACATTCAATTCTAAAGATTCATATCTTGAAGCTAAACATGCTTATATCAGCTTTGTCCTAAAACAGAATGCATGCTTAACAAAATATATTGGAAGAAAGGGGGATGAGAGATGGAAATCCTAATGTCTTCTTTACTTCTTACAACAGCAATCTCCAACATGTGCTCTTGAGATATATTAGGTCTAAACTTCCCCATTGTTTGTACAATTCTTATATAACACTGCTATTGTTCATGCAAACTAGCATGATGGGAGATGTAGCTCAACATCTATGGAGGGCATCTGGTTGGAGATTGCTGTTAAAATGCCTAGTATTTTTCAGTCATGTGACAAGCTGAAGGGCTCGCAAAGTACATATTTAAAGTGCTCATCAAGGTGAAGAATCAAAGTGCTGTAGGCTAGTTTAAATAGCGGTTCTGTTTATGGCTAAATACATTTTGTTTAACAGACTGATAACAGAAACTTGACTCTGTTCTAATATTTTGTATGACTCAGAATTCTGACTTCAATAGTGGTGGGATATGTTTTCTTGTATCTTCACCTGAAAAGATTCAAAAACTTGGATCACAGCCTTTGAGAAGGCAAAAACAATAACACATTACTCTCAGAATTTGTTAAACTTCTGTGTAATTTCTAGCTTTTGCTGTGATGTTGATCAAGAACTTAGAAACAAGCTATCTTTCTTACATTCTACTGTTAGAAACCACATGTCTTTTAAAACATGTTCTTTACGTCTGAAACAATCAAGAGACTTTTTCTTATCTTTAATTCATACTGCATAGGAAAAAAGAATTCTGGAAAAAAAATACAAATGTAAACCACAGTTCACCTTTTTTTAACCTTAAGATTACCATTGAAACTGAGATATACTTACCACTCACATTCATATTTCTTAAACTGGTTACAACATCACAACTGGTATTTTAAACAAGCAAACTTTTTTTGTGTTTTGTTTTTTGTTTGAAAGGATACCCTGAAAACTCAATTGATCTAGCATTTTGAAACTTCAAATATTACGTGTAGCATCGCTTTTCAAATAAAAAAAGAGTGTTCACAAATGAAAGAAGTACAACATAAAAGAACTGCTTAAAATGTAATGAATGTTCTCAAAGAGTAAATAGAGCTTTCACATCTTGCTACAGATGATCGAAATTCTTAAGGCTTTCCTTTGTTCCTCTTTCTTCAAGTTCCTTTGCATTTTTCCTTCATATTTCTGGATGGGTGTCCCTGGAGGGCATTTTCTTTCAGGGACAGATTTTCCCAATTGGAAATGATTCCTATGCTTCTCTGTTCTGGATGAATGTTGGAGTTTTCATGGCTGGATATTTCTGTTCCATCTCCAAAAACTCAGTGTGAGATGTGAGGAGAGACCTGGTGCGTGTTTGCAGTAACCAAGAGAAGCAGAATTGCCAAGCACATGGGCAGAAAATCTAATCGGGTTCAAGGCAAAGAAACTGAAGCGGGAAGGGAAGGGCAGGGAAGGGAGGAGAGAAATGGATTCCTTTTTTTCTTGCACTTTACATTTGTAGCACCTTCTACTTGAATTAGCTAATGCCTCTGGTGAATGGAGAGATGCACCCAATTCAAAGTTTGTTTGTTTGTTTCTTATTCCTAGTTATCGCATCATTTATAAAAATATAAATAACCAAAAAAGTAAGCTGGGTTCCATCTCAAGAGGTGTTTCCTGTTGTCCTCTGAGAGCGTAATTTTTATAAGTAAGGTCTCAACAAGCCCTATACGTTGGAGCTGACTGGTGTAGTCCGATCCTAATAATACAAAAAAGAAAAGAGCAGGGATTCTTGCAATGGGCTCAGCAAATTCTGAGGACATAAACAGCATTCTTTTGTGCGTCTGGCACAAAGGAGACAACAACAGGGTGTGGAGGGGGCCGGGAACAGGGAGGGAAAAAAGAGCAGGGAAGAGGAGACCAGCTGTACAAGCACTTGCTTGGTTCCTTCGTTTGTTTAAAAAAGAGGAAGCAACAATGCAGCATCTGGGTCTTTTAAAGCCTCGTTTGGGCTTCTGGAATATAGATCTCAATGCTGTCTGCACGCTCCGTAGCGGAGTTTTGCCGGAAAGAGGCTGCCCGCTTAGCGGCCATGAGGCGTCTTCGAGCTTCTTGGCGCTGTCGGTCAGGCAGATCCAAAGACTTCTCTCGGGTGATGGGGAATTTTCCTTTAGGGGGCTTCTTTGGTACAGGCGGAGGAACCTTTCTCTCTTCCTAAGATGCAGGGGAGGAAAAAAAGATATGAAGCACGGAAGGAAGGGAGCCTAAAGAAGGTACATTATCAGACTCATTCAGGGACTTTCCCTGGAAGCTGCAGGTGCCTCCCTGTGAGGCATCCATGACAGTAGAGACTGTCCCAAGCACCGTAGCCACTGACCAATGTTAGCTGCACTCATGAGGACAAGGGACAAAAATGTGCATTGCCACACAAGTTCTGCCCCTCATGTATTTATGTGCAGTGATGAGACATGTCATGATATCTGTTTCATCAGTTTGATATATCATCATGGTTTCTTTTTGGTCTGCATTGCCCTACAGGTTGGAACATTCTCTCCTTTATTTGCAATAATCAAGAATGCTCTGTTATCTCTGTTCCAAATACAAATAAGCATTAGATGTTCATTAATTAATTAATGGTAGTAATGGAAGTCCAGAAAAGAATGAATTTAATATCTATCTACCTATCTACCTACCTATCTACCTACCTATCTACCTACCTATCTGTCTATTCATCCAACCTTCCGTCCATCTATATCTATCTATCTATCTATCTATCTATCTATCTATCTATCTATCTAT